CATGTTTTTAAATGTTTAAATTTATCTATAATAGATCATCAAGTTTTGTCGCGAACAATTCAAATTAATTAACTATTTTTTTTATAAACTTAATAGATTTTAATAATTATAAAATAAAAAAAAAACAGAAAAGCAAATAAACAACCGATGTAAAAAATGATGAAACGCATTAAATTAAACTGAAAATTTTATTATCTTTCATCCTGGAATCCTTCCTAGCGTTATATAGTCATTCATAACTTTAGTCGGTTGATTGTATTGCCGTTCATAACAAAATAATAATCACATTTTAGGCCTCGAAATTTTTTTTTATTCGTGATAAATTTTGCTGAAAAAAAATTTTGTGATCATTTTGAAAAATCAATGATCGAAGATCCAGTTGAACAAAGTTTTTATGAAAATTTGATCATTCGTAACGGGAGATAACACGTAAATGGGGAATGGTGTTGTTGAATACCGTCCACTTTTCAAATTTAAATGTCGCCGCCAAATGTAACGTAATGTAATTTGTTGATTATAAGTTAATATATTTACAATTGACAAATAAATATGCCAGAGGTGAAATGGGTCAAGCTAAACTTTATGCCATTAATTATTTGAAGGTAATTAATTTTATTAATCACAGACAGGATCTGAAAAGTGTAATAGCATTTTTATTATTTGCTACACGCGGCGGGTCGGATAGAAAGGATTTACGACATAATTTGAATGGTTCAACTTTTGAACGTTGGTGCATGGGCTTATTTCGAATGGCATGAATGAAGTCAGCATGCAATTAAATTTTCATCGCGCACGCTAGCTAGCAAGACGCGTTTCGTTTCGTTTCGTTTTCTTGGAGGGAAATATTTTGACGTGCACCTGCTTAAACAACTGCAATTATCATCTCGTCAAATATTTATGCCGAGAGGTGTCAGCAGGAAAATGTTCAGAGTAGATTGGAAATAACATAATTAATTTAAATTAGTTTTATTTAATTTTAATGATAAACCACATTTTGTGGAAATTATTTTGAACGCCTGCAAAAAAAAGTAAAATCCCTGCTTGGTCTTAGTTAGCGCTAGAAATAAAGAAATAGGGCAATATTCAACATCAGTTTGCATACATTACGTGCACGGAGGTACGTACGTTGCAGATTCGAATGGAATGGGATGGAATGAGTAACGAAGCGTTCGTTCGACTGCGCAGAAAATAATTGCGAGCTGTTTTTTAGTATTGTGCGAGCCGCTGAAAAATTTACATATAAATAAGATGGGAGGATGTGGTCTTGGTATTCATACGTAACATGGAATAGCGAAATCTGCTGGTTTGTGATTGGTACTATTAGGAAACAATAGAAGTAAAAAATTAATGATTGATCCTCTATAAAATTTCACCGGGAAACCTGAACGATCTTATCTCAAGGTTTTTAATATTTTTTCTAATTAGAGTCTTTAGTAAGCAGCTGCAAAAAAATCTGTCGGCTAACTTTTGTTAAAATTTTATTTTTATTAAATTTATTCTTTCTCTAAAAAAATATCGTTTAATTTTCATAATAAAAGAAGAATGTGTTTAATATAAAGCATTAACGGGCGTCTCAGTCGCTTGCATTGGTTGGTACTTATAGATGACTGATTACAGCAATGCAACTTCACCCGCTCCAACATCATTCCGATTTAAATTATTATTTATTCATTTAAAGCTAAAGTAGTAATTAAAATAAAGTAGATTCTGTTTTTTCGTAATACGCCTAGTAAAGCCACTGTTGTTTGTTACTTTTCAGATCAATTTCTGATTATTTTTAAAGTGTTATGACAGAAATATTTTTTATTTAAATACCAAACTCTAATTAATTCAATTTGCTGGTGGCAAGTACACTACATTTACCACAGTTGGAGTAGTGTTAAGTTTGTTATTGTAATTAAATGATGAAGAATTGAACTAAAATTTTGTAAAGTAAAAATTTGTTTCCAATAGAGATGACATGATTGTGGGCAATAAATTTCAACACGTGACAAGATTTTATGGAAGTGACACTTTCACTAAAATTAAGCTTAACGATGATTTATACCTTTGGAGTTTTAAATAGACTTGTTAAAATATATTCATTTATATTATGTTAGTTGATTTGTTTGTTTGTGTGTGTGTGTGTGTGTGTGGTGTGTGGTGTGTGTGTGTGTACGTGTGTGTGTACGACCACCACGTTGAAAACCGCCACCTTAACCTTTGTATCAAATCCGTTATCAAAGACTAATAATGTCGAAAGCTCATTGTTGTCTTTGCTTCAATGCGGCGATATTATTAGTAAATTTGCAAATGTTTTCAAATTGGAGCTATGCTAAATATTATTATCGTCCACTTGTAAAGCATCTAAAGGCGACATATTACGTTTAATTGACGCTAGTCGAAACATGAAGTTTCTTTTGAGAGGATGGTGTTAAGTTTTGGATAGTTGTGCAATTATTAACAAATTGATTCAAAAACAGGATGAATGTTGCATCCCATTAAGAGCCAGCAATTGAACGTGAATGGAGTCACTTCAGAAGATCTCCTAATCAAAATTTCAAGAAACAAATCAGTTGCAAAGAGTCGATGCATTACTGGATAAATCTTTAGAAACTATAAAAAAAATGTACTTAACAGAACTTGGTTCAGTATCATAATAAATAACTTGGGCATAGAAACCGTTCTGATGAAATCACTCAAAAAAGTTAAACACAGCCAATAGTAATAAGAAACAAGAAGATAATTCTGTCCTGTTTGGTTTACTTGAAGTTGTGAAACACTGCAAATAATTCCAAGCAGAACCTCTGATCCTTCGATTACCAAGCTGACATCGGGTGGTTTGATGTAACGTTTCAAAGTCTGGTGAATGCGTTCGTACATTCAAAGTTGGATTATTGCAATGTTTTGTTCTGTGGCATCACGAATAAAGTGACTAGTCAGCTGCAGTCAATACAGAATAGGGCTGCAAAGATTGTAATTGGTGCATCAAAGTTTGAACATGTTACTCCAATTGGCTGTCAGTGAGAAAGAAGTTGTCTTCAGAATTGCTGTTGTAGTTTATAAATGCATGAATGGCCCGGCTCCCAAATACCTTCAAGATAAAGTTGTTCAGAGGGATATTCCAATGCATCGACTTGGATTGGTTGGTTCAAATGGTTTAGATCTGCTAAAAGTTCCTTTCGCTAAATTGAAAATAGGATCAAAAAATTTTGCTATTGTTGGATAGATGATTTGGAATAGTCTGCCACAACATTTACGGGCCCGACTTTCTCCCTAGCAATTCTTCGAAAAGAATTTAAAGCTTATTTATTTTCTATGGACAATTTATGATTGTGGTTATTGGCGTTTTTGAGAATATTTGAAAAAGCGCAAACAAACGCTCATAATAATAATAATAATAATAATAATAACGTGAAAACTAAAAGGTTTAGCGACAGCGTGTTACGATGTTTCAGCGAGACCTGCCTATGAAGTACTTTTAAACGGTGAGATTGTGTCGGGAAATATGGGAGAAGTTTGTCAATAATCTGAATTTGAAAAATTTGAAAAACTTGTACAATAAATATCTTATATATTAATAATTAGTTTAATATATATTAATATTAATACTGCGGTTATTAATATTACTATTAATAAGATTAATATTAAAATTATTATTATTTTATTATTATGTTGTTTAGTTTTATTAATATCATATCCACACTTAGAGCAAACGTTAATGATACCTTCATACAATGTAATCTAATAATAAAAACATTTTAAATGTCACCAATAGATCTTTTAATAAATTCAACTTGAATTCCTTCAATGTATCCCGAACTGATTCTTTTATGAACAAATCAATTTTGTAAGCAATAACTTCATCGTATATTATGCAGACAGGCCTTCTTATAACGAACTTCTATACAACGAAAATCTCTATATAACGAACTTTTAATGTCTCTTGGAATTTTACACATAAAACTGTTTCCATAGAACAAAAATAATTTCTCTATAACGTACAAAACTTATAAAAGTTAAAAGATATATCAGACCATTTAAAATTACCTAGTTGTTGAACATAGTGAAATGTGAGTAATATGTTTGCATTACTGTTTCAAGTATTAAGCTTTTTGCCATGTATGTATACATACATATATGTAAGTATATACAATATTATGTTATTTTTCATATTTCTTGCAATTATATTATTACTTTTAGTTGGAAAATAAATGACGGAATGGTTGTTTTTCATAAATATATAACATATTGACACATTTAAAGCGATATATAATTTTTTACCCAAGCGAATTCTATATAAAGAAATTTCTATATAGCGAATTTTTTCTCCGGAACCAGAGTTCGTTGTACGGAGGTCCGACTGTATTCTGTGAAGGGCACAATATTGGGGTTGATTTGGGCTTTTTTAAACCTATTATATACTTGTCCTAAAGAAGAACGTGTTATATTAATCCATAACAATAACATATTGTTATTATTATTATTATTAAATGTATTACTTTAAATTATTATTATTAAATGTATTACTTTAAATTGTTATTATTAAATGTATTACTTTTACTTTATTATTAAATGTATTACGCCACTTTTAATTTTTCATTAACTCTATTTTATTGATTTTATTATCGACAAATGACATTATTATTTTTTTAATTCCACGTTTTATGATGTTTGGTTGGATTAGAAAAGTTTTGCCACTTTTATGATTATTGTTTACATATTCAGTCTTGATTTATATACTCTAAGTAGTTGGGCTTTTCATTAATAATTTCGTTCAGACAATTTGTTGCCAGTTTTTGTTCAACTTTTCTTATAGAAAATTTTAAATTTGTTGAAACACATTAAAATAAAATGAACTCGGTGCCTCCGTTGAATAACATACATTTAACGTATATTTCAATCATTGGATGATGTGATGATTTTCGGTCGTGCCAGCCTGATGAAATTATAATTGTAACATTTCATGCAGAGCTTTTTGCAAAAGAACGTTCGACAACAACTTCATTATTAACGTACGCCAACAACAACATCATCAGCAACAACATCAACAACATCGTCAACAACAACAACATCGTCATTATCATCATGGTGTCTCTGTTGGGTGGAGGTTTGCTGGGGAATCCGCTGAGTGGTCAGTTTGTGTCTGTGCTTGTGTTGTGTGTTTGTTTATTTGTTTGTTCGTTGTTGTGTTTGTTGCTTGCATGCTTATGCATAAGTTTGATGCGGTTATTGGTCGGTTTTGTCGGTTTATTGTGTTGAGGTGCTACTTGCGTTGTTGTGCTGATGTGATGTTGTGCTAATGAGATGTGCGGATTTTTCCTTGGATTTTGTTTTCCTTATTTTATTTGCTCTTTAGTTATTAAAGTTTGTCAATGATGATGATGATGATGATTATGCTGGTGATGATGACGACGACGACGATGATGATGATTGGGGTGGAAGTAATGATGATGGTGGTTGTGTTGATGATGATGACGATGGTGGTGGTAATAATTGTAATGGTGAAATAAGATTGGAACAATTTTTGGTTTTTTGGTTCTGACGTATTCGTGTTTGTGTTTTCAATCGTGCGTGCACTCTGCGTGTTCCTTGTTAGATGTCACCTGATGTTTTTAATTGGTGGTCGTTGATGCCACATCTTCGTTTTTTGTGTTTTTTGTTGTTGTTATATGCTGTAGTCTTAATGTTGTATGTGTTGTTAAATGTGTGTGTGTGCGTGTGCGTGTGCGTGTGTATCATTTCGTTCTGTTTTGTTTGCAGTAATTTAACAGCGCGTTGTTGTGGTGTTCTATTGAAGTGATATGTTGGTTTGTTGACGTTTTGCAGTTTTTCATGGTTACTGCTAATCATGAAATAGTTATAATCATGAAAATTCAAACTGGAATTGTCCCATCGTGTCCCTCCTCCATTGCACGTTCCACTGCAAGCAGGCGGAGCAATGACGTCACGCATCCATTATAATTGACGCAGGGAACTCCAGGGAGTGATCCTTTACATCGTCAAAAGTGCAGCCTAATGACGCAACTGCTTCCGGGTCAACGTTCTGATCAAACCCTTCCTTCCAGTTCCTTCGTGTAATTCAACAATTTTGACATAGTGCATGTTATTTGAGAACTATTTGATGCGTTACATTGAGTGCAATTGTTTATAGGAACTACATTATCATCATCGGACTATCGCCACTGTTTAAACCAATCGAAATTTCATCATTTGGATGGATGTCACAACTTGAAAAAAGCGTTCCCCTCGTTATCATATTCACAAATATATGGATTTTGGTTTCAATGGCAATCTATAATTTTCGGCTGATGATGCGTTGTGAAGATAATTTATAATATTTTAAAAACTCAACACACGCAGCACTGAATAGAACAAGCAGTGTCGGCATCATTCTCGCGTCTAAGAACCATTTTTGAAAATTTCTGTTTAAAGCACTGCTTCCACATTTAGACGTTGAAAACAACAGTCAAACATTTTCAGATTGCTCGTTTATATTTTTAGATTGAAACCTGCAAGTCAATTCATTCTGCATGCCAGACAGTTTATAAACAAAGTAGAGGTCTTCGTTAGAAAAAATCAATCGTTTGGTTACATTAGGCAAGTAAACAATGCAGACCAATTGAATGCGCACATCGAGGTTGCGTAGTCGTGGATACATACAACACAACAACCATACAATAACAACAACGACAACAACAATAAAAACGACAACGACGACGATAACAACAACAACACATTGTATAGACATGCACATGAAAAATATGTACATAAGCGTACAAAATGTGTGTGCATCCGTAAGTTCTGCTCATACATCTTACACACACAACGTTTACCAAACAACAAATGCACTTTACAACGTTATTACATACATTTACAATATACGTTCTTGTGCATACAACTTTATTACATACAACATGTGTGCACTGTGCGAAGCGCAAGCGCGTACAACATATACATTCGTTAGAAGGTATGGATTCACACACCTGTATTCAATTTTGTAATAGTTTTTTATTATACACATGCATACAAACATACATGTGTATATACATATATATATATATGTTGGTAATAGACTATAATTTTTACAATATTCTATAAATTCTACCGAATGTTTGGCGTTAATATGTTTGTAGTTCGTTTTTTCAATTTTTCTCACTAAAGTTTTTTGGTGAACGTTTAGTTTATTAAAATTCAAAATAAACTTATTTTTCGAATTCATGCTGCAAATAAGGCCATATTTCAATTCCGAATGAATCATCGTCAGTGCTCCTTGCTGTATATATAGGGAAATATTGACTGTGTCAAGATTAACTTTGACGTTGTAAAAATTAACTTTGGTGTTGTAAAATAACCTTCCTAGTACCAACAATCAAGATGACAATCAAGATGTATTACAGAAATCACATGTCAACAGCATACAAGGTAGATGAAGCTATTCTTAAGCATATCATCAATAAAAATGTCACACCAACCAACCCAAATAGTAAAGTTAAACTCCGAATTTATTACAACAATAAAAAAACGTCTCACATAATACTGAAAAACAACTGCAGTCCTAGAGATAACTCTGAGTTAAAGCGTAATCACGTAATATATGAATTTAATTGCCCCTTTGACGGCTGTGCACGTCAACATGACTCATATATCGCGATTACTACTACCTCACTGACTAGAAGGCTTACGATGCATAAACAGAGTGGTGCTATCAAATAAGGTCATATTTCGATTCCGAATGAATCATCATCAGTGCTCCTTGCTGTATATATAGGGAAATATTGACTTTGTCAAGATGAACTTTGACGTTTTAAAAATTAACTTTGGTGTTGTAAAGTTGAACTTTGATGCGAATTAGGTGTCAGGTTTCTTTATTGGCTGGTCATCTTCTTTGGTCTCCTTTTCTTCATCGATTGCATCATATTCTTCTTTGTCACTATTTACGATGCTAGTTTTTATTACTTCTTTGTTTTCGTTGTTGGTTAAGTGCCGGGTTGGAAGTGAGGTTGTCATTTTTTGTTGTATATTTATTTTTGGTTTATTGATGTCAATTAGGACTGCTTTTGCAATTTTAAGATGCGTGTAGTTGCTGTTCTGGTATATTACTTTGGTGTTGCTGTCGAGGATTTCACGGCTAATAGTGATTGAGTGTGTTGAGTCCAAATGAGATTTGATAGCACCACTCTGTTTATGCATCGTAAGCCTTCTAGTCAGTGAGGTAGTAGTAATCCCGATATATGAGTCATGTTGACGTGCACAGCCGTCAAAGGGGCAATTAACAACCCAAATAGTAAAGTTAAACTCCGAATTTATTACAACAATAAAAAGACGTCTCACCTAATACTGAAAAACAACTGCAGTCCTAGAGATAACTCTGAGTTAAAGCGTAATCACGTAATATATGAATTTAATTGCCCCTTTGACGGCAAATTTGATATACTTTTTGTATTGAGATATAAGAGAGATAAGCAAAAAAGAGAAGTCATCAATTGAAAAAAGTTACCCCCTACCCCAGCGTGGAGTTCTGGATCCGGCACTGCCTAGGTACATTGAGTGCGGAGCATTCGGGGAGAATTGCCACACTTGGGGATTTGTTGATGGAGACATTAAACGTAGGAGGAATAAAATAATGAAAAAATGCATTTTGTTTTTTAATAATTAATTTGTTATATAAACCAATTAATGTCAAAAAATCATTTAATTGTTGTATTTTCCCCCACTGGCTACAGAGTAAGATGCAACATCACTGCAAATAAAATAAAAGACAAACTTTACTAGATTAAATGTGAATTAACCTCATTTACATGGAAACAAAACAGATTATTTTAAAATTAACTTGTCTGGGCTTGGAAGATATAAAATAAAATGTAAAATAGATGAAATAAAATAAAATATTGATAGCACTGAGGTTGTCATTCCTTCCATGCTTTCAGCGTTCAGGCACAAACGATGTTGACCTTCAAACAAATCTTTCTACAATTAGCAAAGCAAGTGGTCTTTTTAATTTACATTAAAACTTAATGGATACGTCAGCGTTGATAAAGTGAATAAAAAAAAGTTGAAATATATTATGATAAATTCGGCTGATGATGACGACGCGTGTGCGGGCCGACACTTCAAACATCCAGGGTGAGTAATTTCAGATGCTTCAAACATTTTTAAACGTTTCTGCGGAAGTCTTAAATGTTTTAAATTACATTACAACAGCGGCACCTTTTTAAAAGTGCAGTTTGGTTAGATGTAGTGGTTTCTACAGAAGAAATTTTTTTCTTCAACAAAATTTTTTGAATATTCTTCAGTAAAACAACTTAATGAAGTTGTTTAAAAATTAATCAAGATTTACAGAGAAACGAAATGATTGCCAAAAAAATGATTAAATAGAAAAAGTATAAGCAGAAATAATGATTTAGTACAAAATATAAAAAAGAGTATTGATAAATGGCATAACAAGTTTCTCAGTCGGCACGCGCGCGCGGCCTCATAAATAACCCATCATGAAGCATTTGCATGCAGAACGGAACAGGTAGAACGAGTCATATAATTGCACAAGGTAAAATAAAAGCTGCCAGCGTTTGTTAAGTTGCTCAATGATTTTAAATGCAAATTTTAAATCTAAATTTATTATTATGCGTCATCAAATTAGTTTTATTCATCACTGAAATTAACAAAACTAAAAAAAATGCTCATTATCTTGCATAAAATATGTGGAAAAATTTGTTTATTAAACTCAAATATCAAAAGATAAGATTTTCCAAATTTATATTGAAGTAAAATTTTTTGACTTTAAATAAACAAACAACGATAATATTTTCAAGGATAACATTCATGTTTTTGTGGAAAGAAAACTTCATCTCAATCCTAATTAGATATATATTTTAATTAAGGTTGGATTGAATTCGAACTAATAAATAATGCGCGCAATGATTGATTGAAATGATGCCAAAGGTATGATGACGTTATGTTGAATGTTGCAATAATGATTGTAATGTTCGTTAAAAATGAAAATAACAAAAAAATACCACTTACAGTCACAAACACACAAATGCTCATCTAATTAAAAAAATTATATTGTTCTACTGCAAAAGTAGCATTAATATATTTTAAAAACTACTGAAAACTTAATAATACCTTAATCTTGTCTTTGTAAGAATGTTTGTCGATGACATATGCTTAGAAGCTTTCAAAGTTTCGAGCAGTAAATTTGAAGGAGAACGAATGTAAGCCTCCATACCCGCACGTCTGCTTAAAGAAGATTTTGTCTTCTTCTCTTGAAAGATGTTCAACATTTTTTCATAATCCACATTACATTTTTTTGTTGGCCGTTGTTTTTCTGGCCGTTAGTTAGCACAAAAAATATTTTGAAATAAAATTACAATTTAGCATTGAATTTTGTTTGCTTCTGGTTGGGCTTTAATAACGCTTTATTAACAAAATTATTATAAACCATTTTGTCACATTCAACTTGTACCAATCACAAAAACAAAAGTTTTTTTACTAAAACCCAATTATTAAAATAATTAAATTAGTTCAAGTTTATTTTATAAGAGTAATGAACGTAATTTTAAAAAACATCAGAAACGTTTTTGTAACAAACAGTGTTCGATAAATTAGAATTGAAGAAAGCTATCTTTTTACGCACCAATCCGACTGATATTGCAAATATACAAGCAAGTCTGATACGAAGATGAAATGAAGAGAATGAACAAATTTTATATTCACAATGTTTTGTTTGTTTGTTTGTTTGTTCGTTCGTTCGTTCGTTTGTATGTTTCATTAATTCGCTTTTCTGGCATTTAAATTTTAATTTCTTTTTGATTGTTAAATTTGTCATATATTTTTCTTCTTATTAAGATACAAAGCCATAAAAGCCATTCATTTCTTCTAATTATTACTTTGAATATAAATGTCATACGATTATTATTTTATTGTTTATGGCTAATAAACGAATTTATTTTAAATTGGAAAAATATCTTCAAAACGGATGTAATAATTGAAATATTTTTGGTAAAATTAAGGTGCAATCGCAGTTGAAGGTCATCTCATCTTGTTTTGAAGTGAATTCTTATTTTTATAAAAGGGTTGATGAGGTTTGATCTCTATAGAAAATAAATAAAACAGTTGAGAAGTAAACGAAAAAATATTGCAACATTTTAAAATCAAGTTCACAGTCCAGAGCCAACTTCTGTCTAGACCACTGATGACGACAGAAAAAAAAAACAGTAGTTGAACATTATTGCAAATATAAATATTGCTTGAGGACGTAAAAAAATTGTATGAAAAAAAAATCTTTTACTTGAAATTTCAAACAAATTTGATTGTGATTTCTGATTAGATGAGTAGTTTTATAAAATAAATTAATTGAAACATTTACAGGAGCGTTGGAAGACAAGGACGACAAAAAAGATGGAGACGAAGAGGAAGACCCTGAGGTGCTGGAAGCCAAGAGGGAAGCGGAGGAACGAAGAAATGAAAAGTACAGGAAGATGGAGGAAGAAAGGGAAACCATGAGGCAAGGAATTAGAGATAAGGTGGGTGACAACCTTTTCATTTTTCCACCATTTATTAGGATCAGTAACCAGCTCATTGAGTGTGTTGAAAACAAATTACGAACGTCTGAAATAATTTTTTAGTTAATTTGGTTGATTTCGGAATTTTTTAGATGCTATTACATTTGGATCGAATTTTCGTTTTCGAATTTGCTTTTTTCAAAAAATGTATATTTACAATTTTTGCGATTATGTAACAAGATAATTTTGTTGTTGTTTTGAAATTTTATTGCTTCAATATTGTTTGAAAAATTTGATGGCAATAGTTTTCGCTATTGCTCACAGATTTAGACTGCACACATAACACAGCGTCAGTCAACGTGCCGATGGTTTTAAACTTTCATATCTTATTTTCTGATAAGCAGTTCTCACTTGCACAGATCTGTTTATATATCGTTCCTTAGTAAAAATTAATCAGTTAAATTAAAATTTTTTTGCCCGAAGGCTGTAGGACCTGCAACATTAACACAAAACGACTTGCACGCACTTCCATGTTTCGCGAAAGCACCGCGTCATACGAACAATGCATATGATCGTTTTTGAGAGCCAGACAACTTGCACTGTAACCAATTCATTGAGCAATTATCTAACTAGCCCACCACATATATTTGTGTATATATGTATGTACATATTTATATGTGTAGATAGGTATTCAACAATCATATTTGCATACGTTACTGTAAGTAGGGGCATACGGCTGGGCAGGGTTTTCATAGACCCGAGAAATGAAAAAACTCATTTCAGATTTTTATTATTTTGCGTATTTAATTGAACAAAAATGTAAATAAGCAATTTGTTCGAACGTTGTTGGACCAAAACGCAGAAGCGGTTAGTACATGTAAAAATTATGAACAGGCACGAATGTACGTTCCAAAACATAAATTGCAACCTCCATTAAATCATAGCTTGAAGCAACTTATTCCACAGCAATTACTTTTTTCTTTTTCTTCTAATACATCAAGCTGCACATCGGCACGCAACAGTTATTACTTCCTATTGAAATACTGACAGAACCAATCCTCCGTCATTTTTTCCCAACATCAAAATCATTTTGTGATTGTGTTGTGCACTCAAATTACAACATGTTTCCAAAGTACCACATCCAGAAGAAAGAAGTTCCAAAGGAGGACCCTGGGTTGGAGGGCAGACTTGGAAGGAAGAAGAGGGATGATGAAGGATCGGACCCCCTCCACCCGAGTGCGTCTGGCACACAAGGTTCCAACTTTTTTTCAATTCATTTACATTTTTGCACATCCCCACTGTCACTGGGACACCATTTTTTAACTAAATAACGTGAATATTTGGTGTCTCAACATAAAATATATCAATGAGATGTTGAAATAAAGTTGATACACTAACGGAAACATAACATATCAAATGCACAATAATGAGTGTCGACATTTCTTAAATACGTTGCGATTAAATTTTCAAAGCTAATTTGTTTCGATTGATGTTGCTGCAAAGAAGTATTCAATTAATTAAATTTAAAACATTCAATCTTACTTCGAAAAACATTCTCCATGGCATGCCAAAGAACTTTTAAAAGCCTTTTAAATATTCAATTTCAAACTTTTATCAGCAAACCAAAATTTATTGAAAACTTTGAAGACCGAAAACTTTGAAAAACTTACATAAAAATTTGTTTTCAACAACAAAAGTACCCCCTCAAACATAAATGATGCATTACCTGAAAACGAAGACTAACTACAAAAATGTACGCCTATGATTATTTTGCACCACAAATCTAAATAATTTAAGGCGAAAGACGAGCATCATTTCAATAATTTATAGGTCTTCACAATTTCAAGATGATTTGAAAGTATGAAAGAATAAATGCAATCACTTACATGCGAAAATACCTCAATGATGGACATACCATTTCAATGGGATGGTATGCAACCACCTATGTGTGTCAAGTTGAAATGACCAAGAATGAACATAAAAAAAAACAATTTCTTTTTTTCTCGTTTTTTTATGCGCCTGAACATCGGAATGAAGTCAACAAGTCATCCAATTTCCTCCCAATAAAATAACCTGCCACTTCATTCTCTATTTTCTTTGCACTTTTATTCCGACCATCATTTCTTATTATAAATAATACAATACGGCATTATTGTAATGCAACATCATTATTACGTTAATCTAGTTAGGATTATTAGAAGTTTACTTTGTTAAAATTATGAATTGGTCTATCTAGTTTGTAATGTAGCTTGTAATGTAGCTTGTAATGTAGCTTGTAATGTAGCTTGTAATGTAGCTTGTAATGTAGCTTGTAATGTTGTTTGTAATGTTTTTTGTAATAGTTTATTTTGATATTAGCACGAATTTGCTGTGATCACCAACGAACCAGCCAGAGGCGAAATTAGCATTGTTAACGCTCACAACAACAGCGTACTAAAAGCGTACATCATATTAATGCAAAGATTTTTTTTTTCAACTTAAAAAATTCTTCCTTCCTTCTCTTTCATTTCCAGTATGACGTCAGCAGCAAGGCATAAAATGTCATCGTTATTATTCCCATCATCATCATCATCTTCAACATGCGAAACATCATTATCAACATTATTATTATTCTTTATGTCATTACAAAATCATCATCACTTTTGCCATATCGTCATAGATACTATTATCATCATCGCCATCACCAGTTCCACCACTCATACTATTGGTGTGTCTTCATCAACGTCATCATCATTATCATAATCATAGTCGTCATCATCAACATCATCGTCATCATAATCATCATCGTCGTCGTCGTCATCATCATCATGGCGATGCAGCGTTAACGCAAAAGAGATAGGTCCTGGGATTTCCTATTCGGTCGTCGAACAGTTTGGAATGATTTCCATCACAGATCATGATGGAGTTGAAAATTGCGAAATTGCTGACGCAACACATTGATACTACAGACACACACGCACCACACGCACGCATGCTACACGCACACACAGACAACACACGTAGATGCGTCGTCGCACAGGTAACAACACATGCAATGAACAGATATGATATTGCGCATATTCGGTAACACTTAACAGAACGTCATCAAGATTTCAGTAAAGAAATAACTTTTGATCTGCAATTGGAATGAAATAAGCAAAATGAAACGAAAATGCATGAAGCCTTATCAATATTCTATGTTTTGTTGAAACAAAAATTGTCGTGAATTTTTATTTTGAAAAACTTTTGTTTGAAATAGTTTAAAGAGAACTCCTCAGCCTTAATATTTTCTAAACTTGAGAAATGAAGAATGAAGTAGTTTTCAAAAACTGTTCCCACCTAGTTTCTTTAGATCTGTCCGTTGTATTGATGCATGCAACTTCAGTCATTCATTAGTTTATTCATTATCCGACACTTCCACTTAAAACGTTCCATGCCAGCGTTCAACCGAACTTTTCCATTAATAAATAGATGAATACAAATACCAACAATTTCAACAAAACAACTACTTGCACAGCTCAACGCGGTTGCGTTGCTTGTCTCAAGAGCTTCAAATCAAACTCAACAACAACAACAAACACGCTTACCCTCTTCCAACCCAAACAATGTTCTCAAACTTTTCAAGCCCACCACCGACAACCACAACTGACCACCACTTGTCTTTCCATCGTCCATCCAGGCAGCACTCCGCGAAGGCACTTGTTAGCTCCAAGATGGGAGGGACAGTCAAACAACAGCAACGAAAACTGTATCAATTCGCAAAGCATCTGAAATATTTATGGAAATAAAAACTATAATATTTTACTAAACTCAATAAATGGAATTTTTTTCTGATAAATGAAATTTTGTAAACAATTTAACACATATTTTCCCACATACGAATAAATGGTATTCGGAATTTTCGGTCCCGGTGTTTTCGGTCCCAGATTTTAATGTATAAAAATTTTTGGTCCCGGAGTTTTCGGTCCCCTATTTAAAATTTATACGTAAACGTCAGTTTATTTATACAGCGCTATTTTAACGGCGCTCAAACGTCGGGCCGAGGCACGCGCTATTCACCGCATCACGTACTCAAAGCACATGATAAGCTTTAGAATGTGGCATAGCATGCATTCAAACCCGGGGTCCACGCTCGTAACCACTACACCACACCCGCAGCGTAAATCAAATTAATCGTGCTTGCATTCATGTATGTAAAATAGTGATTGTATTGCTTTGAACAATGGATTATTTGAGTAATGCTTGCATTGTATTCAAGGATTTTAAGGTAATAATAGTAGTTCAAAATTTCCTTGCATTTGCTTAGTGTTAGGGTTAGAGATACATTACGAAGGTTAAGTAAATATCTCTACGCCACGCATTTAATTAACCACGCCCACTTCTTTTAATATGCTAATAGATTTTTAAACAGCCATGTTGGCGTTGATCCCCTTTGCCTCATTTTTTGTGTACTAAAAACGTTGGGGACCGAAAATTCCGAGACAGAAAATTCCTATATATCGAAATCTGGGACCGAAAACTCCGGGACAGAAAATTTCGAGACCGAAAATTCCTTGATTCGAATATATAGATTTACAATTTATATTTGGTTTTCATGTTGAACATAAAAAATCTCATTAACAAAATCTTATTTTAATATTTTCTTCACAAATGTTTAAAATGTTCAAAGGTTCTTCATCTACAATAAGTTGAAAACACATTTCCTCCTAATTGAACTTTTCTTCGAATCCATTTTTCAAAAAACTTTGTTATTTTTTCTGCAAAGCGTGCGACTTTTATTGAGACTTTACTCATTTATACTCAATAAAAAAACATTTAAACGATTTTATAACATTATTTTTTCATGGTTTATTTATTTGTTTATTTTTCTCTTTATAGGTTTATATTTCTTTTTTCTATTTAAAAACACTTGTAAGTTTAATTTAGTTTTGTTGAATTTATGAAATTATTCTCAACATTGAACATGACAATTGACACACAGACCATTAAGCTGTTGTTGAACGCGAAACGTGTAACACACTGTTCACCAGCGTTCAAACAAACTCCTCCAATTACCAGCAACCATTACAAACAGTACGGTCGCCAGTGTTGAATAAAACGTTCATTATTATGAATTGTACATTGAATGAATTATTAGGAATTGTACATTGAATGAATTATTAGGAATTGTACATTGAATGAATTATTAGGAATTGTACATTGAATGAAAATTTTCATTCTGTATGAAATAAGAGCAACATGCTTTGTCTTCAAAACTCACCCACATAATGATTAATAGAAAACAAAATATCGATACTTAGTCCAATATTATCAACAGAATATCGATAATATAAAACTCTTCCATTAGCTGTATCTCCGCTCTCTCACTCACTCACTCACTCACTCACTCACTCACTCACTCACTCACTCACTCACTCACTCACTCACTCACTCACTCACTCACTCACTCACGCACTCAAGCACTCATATTTCTTCACTTTCCATCAGCAAAATCAACGTACCTCCCCTCTCTCACACGCACATGAAGATCTCTCCAGCACTACTTGGCTTCCACACACACACCTGCACCATCTTCGTTACGCGTGCGCAAAGATTTTCAATCCTGACACGTTGGTGTTCAGTTATGGACGCTCTAATATGAAATTGTAGGAATTCTTTTTTGAACTAATTGTTCAAAAACATACACAAAACAGCGAGTGAATTGATTTTTTTTAAATGTTGTTCTTATAAAAAAAACTGAAAAAAGCATTGCTTTCAATAAGCAAATCAGGGTAACAGAAGCAGCCAACATCTACTCACAGTTCGGCATCAACTTAGACAAAGGCAGCAGCAGATAAACATTCAAAAGTCTCATCATTAAACCGAACATTTCATTTCAGAGCACTTCATCTGAAAGGAAACATGTCACTGACAGTTATATCTGATTAGGGGCGCGTGTGCAAAATACAAACAAATGCAACAATGCTGGAGTATCGACTGTTTTCTTCTTTTGCCTTTCATAGGTTACTCATTTGAAGACAAAATCCGAACAAAATATGACGAGACAACAATATTCTTATTATTGTTGTAGTAATTATTGTTATTATTATTATTATTATTTTCTATTCTCTTTCTTCTCCTCCTACATTTTTTGTTTTTCTTGTTCTTCTTTTGCTTTTTTTATTATTATTATTGAGGAAAAGATACAGTCAAGATTATAAGTCCGTATGCTTAACTCTCAACAACAACATTTTCATCAGCAACATGAACAACAAAATGAACAACAACAATATCAA